TATGGCCCCACCTTCAACGCAGCTGCCCCCGATGGCACAGGGGGTGGGCTCAGAAAAAGCCAGTCAGCTCCAGCAGCCGTTGCATGGGGGCGGAGCCGCTGGAGGCCCCCAAACAGGGCTAGCGTCATCTGTGCCTTCCCAGAATGCACACGGGCTTTGTGCACACCCACACACTCCTGTGAGTATCACAATCGAGAATGTGTTTGTTTGGGGTGTTTTTGCTTATACCTTCAAATCGACACTGAAGAGCCTCCATTTATCGTTTTTGTTTGGGTCTTCTGTGAATATGGGGCCCTATTAGGGGTGGGACAATAAATCGATGTGCCGATTTATCGCAATATTTCCGGCCACGAGACGTTATTGATACTCTGGCAAGTATCGATATTTTTTTTAAACATACAAAGATCTAAATTCATACCTACACTGTGGCTGTTTACCACTTTGGCTTACCGGAGTGGCAGTACCTCCAGACTTCTTGTGGTGGTGCTTCCCAGATTGTGGATGGTCAGATGAATGGAAATTGTAATTCACAGCGAAGAAGAAATACGAGCGTAATGGTAGACCAACAACAAATCAGAGATGCACCGGCGTCTTATGTTTATGGAGATGAGAACTAAAAAACTGCCCCAGAACAGCTATCAGCGTGGACTGTAGGCATCGATCATGGTATCATTGCAGAGCGCATATTGAGTCCGTGAGTAGCCTAATTTCTTCGCTCGGATCGCAGGTGGATTTCCCTCACTGTATGAGTGAAAGAGAGCGGCGCCGGCGCGTCCAGTTTTATGTCAATAAAACTGAATGCTCTCTCTCTCTTTAGATATTACAAGTGCGCGTTATTCAGTATGGGCAGTGGGCACCGACCGGCAGAAACATTAATCTGCACCTATGGCATGGACGACGAAACAAAACCTTGTCAGAGCCGTAATGCGGCGCAGAAGTGTGCAGTGTGTGTGCTTTCCACTCGTCTACATTTGAAATAACGAACTATGAACGGCTATGTCTTGTGCGGGGCTCCGTTTTTATGATGAGAGGAGAGGAAAAGTTGAGAAAACACTCCAGGTAAATTTTGAAATGTACCTGGTTTTTATATATATATATAGCCTATATAAAGTTGATAAGCAGTTAAATGTGTTGGTTTACACACAAAGAAATGTGTAAGCTTTTAATAAGTGATTAAATGATAATAAAATTGATTAATTTACTTAACATGTTAAATTTGATTTACAGAACTTTTTGTGCTTTTTTCTATCAGTTTGGACTTGAATAAAGAGAGAAAACATGCACTTAACCTTTTCACAGGCATTTTGTTTTCATAGTTAGACAGATATCGTGATGTATCGTTATCGGATTGTCTAGCAATATATTGATTATCACAGAATCGCTGTATTCATGATATTACCGTATCGTGAGCCATGTATCGTGATTCGTATCGTATCGTGAGGTACCCTGAGATTCCCACCCCTAGGCCCTATGATGAAACGCATATGGAATCATAAAAATTGAGTTTACAGTATAATGCGAAATGTCATGAAATTTGGCTAAATTTAGATGAATAAATTAAAAGCATGGCTGTACATTTAATCAAATCAGTAAAAAAAAAATAGTCTTTGAATATTAAAGCACAAAAAGACTGCCATTTAAATGTGTAGTCTACATGTTCTGCATGTCTGTGTGAATGAAAATATATTTCTCAAAGTAATAACTGTAATAATTTTAGAATAAATTTAATAAATTTAGAGTATCACATTTTTTGTCTGTGTTTTAATTTAAACTGTGACTTTAAACTTTTAAATTTAACTTGCTAAACTTAATTTAAATTTAATTTAAACCTTTGTTGTGCAGGACTGTGTTTTTTCCACAAATGAAAGAACCTGTTCAAATAATTTAATTTAATTAATATAATTTAATATCATTTTAAAAGATTAAAAGTTTTTATGCATTTGTTTGATTTACAACCGTTTTTGATAATGGTTCCAAAAAATAACTATTAAAGATTTTCTGAAAGAATAAAACTATTTTAAAATGCACTATTTATAAAATTAAAGTAAAAATTATTAAATTAAGTTTTTGTGAATTCAGATGATTAGTAATTGTTTTTGATTATTAAAAAAATATATTTAATTAAACCATTAAACTGAATCCAGAAAAATGAAGTGGAAAACTCAGAATTAGGGGGAAAAATTTCAGAATTTGGGAAAAGATAAAACTAATTTCGTAGGGTCTGATGAATTTCTCTGTTTTGTTTGTCTGCTATGGAACTCTGTCACAATTCGCTTGTTTGTGCTGAAGCAAAATAAACAAAAATGCACAGGGTTGATAGAAGAACAAACATGCCCAGCATGAAAGCTCTCTTAATCTCCTGTTTGTTTTAGTATTTCCTCGATATTCTTTATTTGTATTGCTGTTTTTTTTTTCTTTCCTTTTTTTGTTGGCTGTTCTCGTACTGTACTCTTTTGCATTGGCTATTCCTTCTGACATTTGTTTTTTTGGCTTTTCATACACTGCTGTTTTGTATTAGGCATTTCCTGCTGACTGTTATTTCTCATTGGTTGCTCTCTCATTCAGACACGCGTTTCTCCAGTTTCTGTGTTACAATTTTTATTTGCTGTTCCTTTTGTTTGCCATTGGCTGCTCTTTTTTTATAGACTGTTCCTTCAGATTTTTGGTTTCCATTGGCTGTTTTGTCTTATTTTATCTCTATTTGATCCTAAGCTATTGTTTTTTATTTATTTTTTAATTGTTATTTATTTTTGTAGCTGTTCCTACTGGTTTTTGTTTGCCATTGGCCTTCCTCCTGACTTGTTTCTTATTTAGCCATTTGCTCTGTTTTGTTTCTTTAATTTCTCATTGGCTGTTCTCTCTATCTGCTGTGCCTTGTTGGCTGTTCCTCCCTCATTTTGTTTGTTGTTTACTCTTCTCTCTTAATCAGCTGTTTCTTTTGGCTGTTCCTTGTTTTTGTTCGCCATTGGTCGTTCTCTTAATCTGCTCTTCTGTCCCACCCCTCAGCTATCCCAGAAGTCATCTCTTACAGCGGACGGTCAGGCCTCAACTCCTGCCTCGGACAGCAGTGCTGACCCAAGCTCGCAGCTGACATCATCCGAGCCCACCGCCCCACTCGACCCCAAAACAGAGGTCGAACAGCAGGAAGAAGAGGATGAGAATGAGATGGAGGATAAGGCCTCAGGGAAAATGGCTGCCATGCAGACTGAGATTAAGACTGAAGAGAAACCAGAGGTGAGTTGGAGAAACTTTACATCTGTTAAACCTGAAATTGATCCTTTCTTTTCAGTCTGTATTTCAATTCCGTCTCTAAACTTATTTTGATTGGTCGGCCACATAAAGAAGGAGGAGCCTGCAGGCGATGAATGTAAGACAGAGCCAATGGAAACATCAACTGGGTCGACAGCCGAGGACAAAAAGCCGGAGGTCAAAACCGAACCCAAAGAGGAAGAGGCTGTGGGAACGAACAGCACTCCCGCAAACACACAAAGCAAGAAGAAAGGTAAAACAAACTAACGCACACATTCATGGAGACATTTTACATGAAAAATATTTGGTGAATATTTTGTCCTTTTTGGTGGTGTTGTTTTTTTTCAATGTAAAAATACCCTTTTCTATGAAGATATAATGTGCTGGGGAAAAAAAACAAACATTGGTAGACCATCCCAGAGAAGTTAAACCTGAAGCTTTTTGTTTTATATGTCTCCGTTTTATAATTGATTGTCGTGCTTCATGGGATTGTAGTTCTAAGTACACAGTTTTGTCTGATTTTCAAATAATCAAAATGTGTAATGTGATCAATTTGATAGATTTAACTGTGGCTTATAACTGTTAAAGATGTTTTTTCAGCAAAAAAAATATGAATTTTATGATTGTGTTTGGCACAGAAATCATATGTTTCACCTTTAATGACTCTGCAGATGTTCTTATATAATTTGCATACAGTCATTAACCAAAGCATGTTACAACATGCAATGGATTTACTGTTATTTTATTTTGTGATTTAAATTTATATGGTGCTAAAAGTAGGGAAAATCATCAGTTCTCGTTGCATGAAATCTACTAATTCTTATCTAGAATCGGCAGGTGCTTGTTCCTTTCCTCAGTTTAATATGAAGGACAAACACTGCTTTGAAATCAGTACTCATGATTTTCATATGAATATGTGCCTGATTCTTGACTCCGCTGCTACCTTTATTTCCTTCCTCTCCATCAGTCTTTAAACCCGACGAGCTCCGCCAGGCTTTAATGCCCACTCTGGAAGCTCTGTACAGACAGGACCCAGAGTCGCTGCCCTTCCGGCAGCCGGTGGACCCCCAGTTACTGGGAATACCCGTACGTATTCGAACTAGTAACAAAACTAACCTGGTAAGGGCCTGCGCTGGCACGCATTATGCTACAAACAACCTAGCACTTTTCAGTTCTAGTCTCATTACTTTTTTGTTTTTACCTTTACCCCCTCTCTTTCTGTCTTCTGCCTGCTGTTGTGTGCATTGTGTTTGGACGTGAGAGAGACGTTGCAAGCTTGCATCTGTAGCGTTTCTGTCAGAAAACATGAGCGAATATAAGGCAGCGCAGACTATGAACATCCGTTCTTGTGCTTTGTGTCTTAAAACATAGACAGAAAATTTTGTTAGACCATATTCAAATCAGGAAAATGTAAAGATGAAGTTTGTGATTGTTTTGAAATTTAAACCCTGAATTAATGTGCTGAGCCATTTTTTTTGACCAGCCCAACACCACACCTTTGACTCAACCAATGGTGTTTGGCGAGTTTGGGATGTGTTTGAGCAACAAATCATTTTTTTTTTTTTAACTAGTGATGTTGCTAATGCCAGAGATTACACACTTAGGCTTTAAATTAGTTTTATTTACGCTTTGTATTTAAACTGAGGATTGTAGTTTTAAGATTATATCAAATTGGGCTATGAAACAAGAACATTTTAGTTAATGATAAAGCAGTTATTTGGTGAAAATGAACTGGCACTTTTAACTAGATTATTTTGAACGTTCAGTTGGCATTAAGTCTTAAATGTTGCTGGTTGTTTGGCATCAACAAAATGAAATGTCTCTGAAATATCTCACAGTCTGTGCTGGCATTAAGTATTGTTTTTGCTCTCATCTGCTTAGACTTTGTGTACTTCGTTATCTTAACCTTAGCTTCAAACCATTGCACTTGTTTTATTTTATATCCACATAATATCCTCATTCTAAATTTACCATCATTCCCCAGAGTTATGGCCAAGTATTTTAGCAATAACCAGCATAGCAGATGAAATTTTACTGATTGTGTAATTGGTATAATTTTACTGACAAGTACAACTGGCTTTCATTTACGTTAAGGAGCCACATTTCTTCCACTGATCACTGTGTTGCATGATGGGATCAGTTGATTCCGTTTCTTAGAAAGTGGCGAAAATTAAAATGAATTTCCTGCTTTTCTGGTTATTTTTCTGCTTTATCAGTGGTTTGTTTGAATGAGGCACTGGCCCTATTTAAGGTGTGACAAGCAAACATTACAAACAAGTAGAGTCCAACTTGAACAAAATATGTATAAAACCTAATGGACAACTCAAAAAGCCATAATTAATTGGTCAAACGGTAAACCCTGAAAATGAAATAACTCTGGGTTTGTTCACTCTCTTCACTGGTCTAAGATTAGTGTTTGTTTGAGACACCTCAGTTTGTCCTGGCATTGTTTCGTCCCCATCGTATCTGCTTAAAGAACGCATATGGTTGTGTAAAGAGTTGAGGGAACCATTATTGCAATCGCTGTACATATTCATATTTTAATGTATGGTTCTGGAGATCTATCAGATGCCAGGCACCCTGCAGAGTCTCAAGATCTAAAATCTTTTGATGCAACCCCAAACCTTAAAGGAACACTCCACTATTTTTGAAAATAGGCAAATTTTCCAACTCCCCTAGAGTTAAACAGTTGAGTTTTACCGTTTTCGAATCCATTCAGCCGATCTCCGGGTCTGGCGGTAGCACTTTTAGCTTAGCTTAGCATAGATCATTGAATCCGATTAGACCGTTAGCATCTCGCTCAAAAATGACCAAAGAGTTTCTATATTTTTCCTATTTAAAACTGGCCTCTTCTGTAGTTACATTCTGTACTAAGACCGACGGAATTTATTACGCAGCGCCTGAAAATAGTCCCCAGCTAGGTAACTTCCAATAAGCCTATTTTCAGGCGCTGCGTAATATCATTGCGCCTGCTGCACCCATGGTACGGCAGCAAAGTTCCTAGATTATTACACCGGAATGAGAGTATAGTTCCTAGCCATATCGGCCTAGAAAATTGCAACTTTTCATTTTCCGTCAGTCTTAGTACACGATGTAACTATAGAAGAGTCAAGTTTTAAATAGGAAAAATATAGAAACTCTTTGGTCATTTTTGAGCGAGATGCTAACGGTCTAATCAGATTCAATGATCTATGCTAAGCTAAGCTAAAAGTGCTACCGCCAGATTGGATGGATTCGAAAACGGTAAAACTCAAAAAATAGTGTAGTGAAAAATATTTTCAAAAATAGTGGAGTGTTCCTTTAATCTAAATTTCCCTAAAAACAAAAGTTTTGATAAAGAATCACAAGTCAATTCCAAATAATTTAACACTCTGTCACACACAACCTGAATACAGCGGGGTTGACAGCTGAAGGATTGTATTTCTCCTGTGTCTTTGATTTGTGCTGCTGGACTGTAAAGAAGCGAGTCCAGCTGTGCTTTGTGGTGTAAACGCTCATAGTTATACTGCTGTAATTTAATATCACCCCGCTTGTACTCACCTCAGCTTACTGTACCCTAACGCTAACCCTGCCAACATCACCCTATGAAACCGTTTATTTGGATTTTTTGGCCAAATGGATTCATTCTTCCACATGTGATATTATTTCACCAAGCCTGGATTTAAAATTAGTAAATGTTTTCTTAAAGTGACCCTATTATGCCTTTTCGAATATTACCTTTCATGCAGTGTGTCATGTAGCTGTATGTGAACATAAACTATCTGCAAAGTTGTGAAGCCGACAGTGCACGATAAATAAAGGTGTCTATCAAAAAAAAAAAGAGTCGGCTCGCAATCGCCTAAACGAGTCGTCAGGAATTCGAATCTTATTCTGTTACAGCTCTACGTCACAAAGTAACAAGTTATTGTCTATCAAAAAAAAGAGTCGGCTCGCAATCGCCTAAACGAGTCGTCAGGAATTCGAATCTTATTCTGTTACAGCTCTACGTCACAAAGTAACACATTTGCATAAGGTTTGCCCACGTTTTACGTCACCAACTTGCCCACCCACAAACACAGTAAAATTTCCGTGTGGTTAACATCATGTCGAGAAGACGCTGTATCCTACGCTGTGAGTAAATTTGTTTTATCACATCTTGTAATTACCACAAACTTATTAACACTTGACACTTAACACTGAGAAAAGTCCTGCTCCAGTCGTTTGCAAATCAGTCTCTTGTCGATCAGCCACTTCAACCGTTTCATCATCAGACTCCGGCTCGAATTGGTAAGGTACAATCGATACCATCTTTTCTATGTATTGTCAAGTCTCCAGGGCTGTCGTTCCGTCATGGCAATGGGCGTTTCGTTTCCGACACACACTGTATGCGGTAGACCAATCCAGAGCCAATCTCTCTACGGCTTTGGACCAATCACAAAGGACTGCGCCATCTGACCAATCACAGCAGTGAGGGCTCACGGAAAGGAGGGGTTTAGAGAGACTGATTCTTTGAACTGCTTTGCACGAGTCATTTACGAATCATTTAGAAATGAGGAAAATTAAATCTATTTTTTGAGAAAACTAACGTGTTTTTTTAACTTGCATGCATGTAAACCTGTTTTAGGAGACTCATAAAACAATATTAGCAACCTTAAAAATGGCATAATAGGGGCACTTTAAATACAGTTTCCAAGCTATAAATAATGACAGAGCATAATAATAAATTACAGTCATAATGGTTAACAAGTGAATATTATGAAGAAATGCCGAAATCAAAAGAAAAACAATAAATTATATTTTGCATAATGCTTATTTTTAGGACTTTTTTTTTTGCATTGTAGCATCATTGTGACAATTGAGCACATTTAATATCTTCATAATTTTAAAATTTATATTAAGAATATTCATTGTTAAAGTAATTATGATGATGATTATGATGATGATGATGATGATAAAAAAATAATACTCATCGTTATGGTAACGCTTTACAATAAGGTTCCATTTGTTAACTATATAATATGTATATTAATTGTTATATGTATATGTATATATATATATATATATATATATATATATATATATATATGTATTTAGTGCATTAACTAACAATGAGCAATACATTTGTTACAGTATTTATTCATCTTTGTTAATGTTAATTAATAAAAATACAACTGTTCATTGTTAGTCCATGTTAGCTCAGCTCTATTAGATGGATATTATTACTCTATTAGATATAATATAAAATGTTTAATTTTAATAATGTATTTGGAAATGTTGGAATCAACATTAACTAAGATCAATAAAGTATTTTTTTTATTGTTAGTTTGTCAATTGTCATTAATAAAGTTTAATTGTCATGAATTTAAAGCAAACAATGCAAAACCTTAAAGGTCTTAAAAATGAGCTCAAAATGCAAAATATAATTTTCTTGGCATTTCTTGACATTTTGTAATGTGATTCAGCCTACTATCTTACCATATTATGTTCATATACCTTTGCCCACCCCAGTTCGTCAGTAGATGTCTGCCGTCATTGCTGCTGGCCCAGAGATTTGTGTGTGTATTTGTGTGTATGGGAGAACAGGAGAGAAATAGGGTACAGAATTGAGTGAGGCAGTGGGAGTCTGTTACGTTTTTCTCTGTTTGTGCATGTGAACCTCTTCTACAGCGCTCAACATTGTCCCCCTGCACCCTCTTCTCTCCCCCTGACTCTCAACCCGCCGGGCCGCCGTCCCTCGCTCTGTCCGACTGCAACTCCCTTTCACCTGCTGATGAACTTCATCTGCGATCTGGACTCCGTTCTCCAGGACTACTTTGATATAGTGAAAAACCCCATGGACTTGTCCACTATCAAGCGTAAGCTGGACACGGGTCAGTACCAGGAGCCCTGGCAGTACGTGGACGACGTGTGGCTGATGTTCAATAACGCCTGGCTGTATAACAGGAAGACATCACGGGTGTATAAATACTGCTCCAAACTGGCTGAGGTGTTTGAACAGGAAATAGACCCCGTCATGCAGGAGTTGGGCTACTGCTGTGGAAGGAAGGTGAGCCGTGTGTGTTTGTTGGTTTTGTTTTCTTTACTAATAAGATTTATAAAAGGAATGCGGCTCAACTCATCAGATTTCACTGGTTTTAAAGTAACCAAAATATACTACTATACTACTACACAACTTATTTAATAATATTTAACTATTTATATTATTATAACAATAATTTCAGAAAACCATATAGTGAGTGCCTTAAAAGTATGTTTAGATACATATTATTATTAAGACAGAATTATAATTACTACCGTATAATACCATTTAATACTTATTTAACAATATAAGTATTATTATTATTATTATTATAACAATTTCAACAAACAGTATAGTTAGTACACTAAATGTATGTTAAATACTACTACTTAAGAATAATTTTAATGTACTACCATATAATGCCAAACTAATTTAACAATATATATA